GGGGGGGGGGGGGGGGTCTGATAAGGCGGTCCTTTAAATATTGGAAAATGGGAATGGTGTAAAACTGATGGCTGTTTTTCTAGGCGGATAAAGAATATAGGTCGCATTTCGATTTTGGCTGTTGTGACGTCAGGAGGGCACGGGTTTTGCCGTGCAATCCGAGGTTGAGTCCCCCCCCCCCCCCCCCNTTGAGCCGACTCCCCCGGCCTCGGCCGGCTCATGTGCCCGATGTACCCGATACCGTGTGACGTCCAGAGGGTACGAAATGCGACCACCATTCTTCATCCGCCTTGGCTGTTTTTCTCATTTTAATAATGAAATATGAAAAACATGAGATTTACGAGAAAGAGATCAAGCCAAGGCTTGTCAAATAAACTCGGCAAAATTTTGCAATTATTTCTCGATTTTTCAGATTAGTCTCGGGAAGGGGGGGGGGCTATTACAGGGGTGTTCACTGCGTGAGCAGACACGCAGAACATCCGCTCGGCAGAATCTCGGTTGGGCGACGCGGGCGGTGTCGGAGAAAATTCTCTTATCGAGAGTCGAGGCTCATGTCAGAAGCAAAAGGAGATCGGTTTAGTTCAAAAGAGGTAGCGCCCGGGTGGTCAAAACATCCGTCTGGGACACTTGAACAAATCACGCCAGGTGCCAGGAAAACATGCGAAAGGAAGAGTTACATCACCCTAACTACACATCGCACACACACTCAGGTCACATCTCCCCTACGCACGGATGTCCATTTTACCTTGCTAGGGAAAAACGCCGCGCGCCGTATGCATATTCGAGAGTTGCCAGATTTCCTTCGATGAGACGTTTGTTGAACGATATGAATATCATATTTTGAAATCTTTAGATGATTTAGATCTGATTGTAGATAAAATTCTCCCTATTGTCCACCGGAAAACGCATAAGTTTTAATTTAATGCGTTGTCATGTTGTTAGTAAAATACAGTTCTTCCGCCCCTGTCAGTCATTCAAAATCAGTTCAGCACATCCACTGCGAAAATGTTTTAATTGCGAATCGCATTGAAAGTACATGAGTACAATTTAGCTCCGACCGAAACATGCTGCAGACCGCCGATTTTTCTTGCGTAATACGGAGGCAGGGAGATTGGCTCTGACGTAATTTTTAAGGGAGAATTCAACGCTGCCTGATATGGATCGCGTTAAGCAGAAAGGAACTATAAGCCACATCAGCTATTGCAAAATTTAATGTTTCACGTGATAACGGTTATGCGGATTTTTGTGCAAATTTCAGTAAATGTTCTGCAAAGTGCTAAACGCGGTCCATATGTGCTTGTCCATATGTGCATATGTCCATGTGAGAGGGGAGGGGGGGGGAGGGTTAAAAAGGGAAAAAACCGGCCGTCATTTGGGCTGAGTTTAACAAGACGCACTAAAGAAGCATTTTGAAAAAAAAAAA